AGGATTAGTAAAAAACAGTATAAAAACACTTACTCTACTTATATTGGAAAAATTAAACAGTAGGAAAAAAGTTAATGCGAAAGAACCGGCGTAACTAGGCAGCCTAAGGCTTGCTACTTTTTCCAGCCCGCTAACAGCCCAGTACCGATTTTTATTTCAGGAAACTCGCCGTGAAATGCGAGAAGTACAGCCGTTCGATGCTCCACGTCGAGGTCAACGTGCTTCTACACGCTGCCGAACAAAAGTGCAAGCACTTCTGCGAGCGCGTCGCCCACGTGAGTTTTTTGAGGTTCAACCAATTCTTTTTATTTAGGGATCCGTCGGCAAGGAGTACGTGTTCATCGTGATGACGCTGCTCGGCCGTGACCTGCACAAGGCGCGGAACGAGATGAAGGACCGGCGATTCACGCTCTCCACCGCCCTCCGCATCGGCGTGCACACGTTGAAGGGCATCGAAGAGCTGCACCGTCTCGGCTTCCTCTCACGCGACATCAAGCCCGGCAACTTTGCCCCCGGGCTTCGAGAAAACAAGCAGAACAAGCTCATCTTTCTCTACGACTTTGGACTGGCCAGAAAATACCTTGATTCGGTAATTTTCGATGGTTTCGTTCGCGGGGGGGGGGGCTTCCCTTTCTCCCGGCTTAACCTCTAAAAGATAGAATATAGGCTATTTTTGTTGGTTTAGTGAGTTCCGCTTGCTCAGATTTGCGCAAGGTACGGGATTTTTACCGTTTTTTTAATCCATTTTTGATTAAAAACTCCATAGACGTTAATAATTTGTGATTCTTCCGCGCGGAACAGTAACTTGTATCCATTCGAATTTTTTCAAATTATCTATAGGAAGTGTTTCTAACTCCTCACGGACTCTTAAAGAATTTTTTTTGAAAAACTGCGATGTCAAAAGACAGGGCTCAGAATGCTACTGAAGTGACTTTTTGAATTTGGCAAGCACCTGTTCCATCGGAAGATTTGTTCTAGCCAAATTGTTTCAGAACGGCAACATTGTGCAGCCCAGGCCGGATGTCGGTTGGCGCGGAACGACACGTTATGGAAGTTTGACGGTATGCCGTTTTTTTAGTATCAACTTCGGATTTAGGCCCATCACCGCGCCGACCTTTCTCGCCGTGACGATCTCGAGTCATGGTTCTACATGCTCGTCGAGTTCACGAACGGACAATTGCCGTGGCGCACGATCACAGACCGCGGAGCCGTCCTTCTATCCAAACAGGCGGCCCGCACACCGATCGGGTTGCCCACGTTCCTCGTCAACTGCCCCAAGCAGTTCCCGGTGCTGCTCAAGTACATCGACGAGCTCGTGTTCACCAGCGCCCCCGATTACGCGCACTTGCTTAAGATTTTGGATGAGGTATATTTTTTGGTACTGGGCTGGTAGCGGGGGGATTTTAGGAAGGGGAATCAAAAATTTTTTTCGCGTTATTGGGGGGACCGACTTTTTTCTTAGGATCTAATTTGGCTAAATTTCACTTTACGGTAACTAAATAAAATGCCGATTTTTCGGTTGGAATCGATAGATCTCGTCGAGTTCTACCATTTCCAGTTGAAAAAACTATTGGGACTCGCTTCTAAAAAAAGTTATAAACATTTTAAATTGGCTAGTTCACTTTACGGTAACTAAATAAAATCTCGATTTTTCGGCTGGAATCGATAGATCTCATCGAGTTCTCGCGTTTCGCGTTGAAAAAACCATTGGGACTCGCTTTTAACAAAAGTTATAACTGTTTTAAACCAATTCACCCCGCATCGAAAAAGTCGGTTTCGGCTACGAGGGACTCCTTTGTACGGAAAAACGTAATAGTTGTGAACGTACTGGGGTACCAAATACGGGGCTGCTGCAAAAGGCGCAGGAAAAACTTTATTAGCACACATTTTGCACTTCCTCCGAATTTCGGAATTTCTGAAACATCAAAAAGACGGTTTTGCTACAGGAGTCACGCAATTTGAAGGGAAGTGACCGCTACCTCCTCCGCTCTGCGACTAGAAAAAGGCTTCGTGCCACCGGGGGCCTAGTCGCTTCGGATGGGTGCGAGCTCGTACAGGGTTTCGAAATGGGGGCGCCAAGGCCGGCGAAGCGGCCGGGGGCGCCCCCATTTCGAAAGAGTGGAGCGGCAGCCCATCCGAAGCGACGGCCCGCCTTGCCTGACAATTTCACAGTCAACAATGTCAAAAATATAGTGTAGCTTCCTCCGAACAACTTTCCCAAAGGTTTTTACAACTGTAAATGCCAGAACTCGACGAGATCTGTTTACCGCAGGCGAAAAATCGCATTTTTACGAGGTTACCGTAAAGTGAACCAACCACTTTAAGCCGTTTATAACTTTTTTTTAGAAGCGGGTCCCAATCGTTTTTTCAACTGGAAATGGTAGAACTCGACGAGATCTATCGATTCCAATCGAAAAATTGACATTTTATTTAGTTACCGTAAAGTGAACTAGCCAATTTAAAATGTGTATAACTTTTTTTAGAAGCGAGTCCCAATAGTTTTTTCAACTGGAAATGGTAGAACTCGACGAGATCTATCGATTCCAATTGAAAAATCGACATTTTATTTAGTGACCGTAAAGTGAAATTTTCCCTCTAATTTTTAGAATATGAATAACGAAAGTGTTTCTAAACTGTTTTTTGCTATTCCTAAACGTCAAAAAATTACCAATTCCGATTAAAAAATCAAGGAAAAATCGATTTTTCGAACAAAAAACGCCCGGGTTTTGACCAAAATGTAGAATCTTCAATTTTTTAAGTTTTCCGGAGGGATTTTGCACTTAAAATATAGTTAGATTTTACAAAAAAACTAATACGACAGTTCCTATTAGGTTATTTCTAGATATTAGATTCGGTTTTTTTCCAATTTTGCACAGTTTTTTAAAGTTTTGATGAAAATTAGGCCCCCCCCGCTAACGATCTAAAAAAATTTTCCGCAGATTTGTCAAATTTTTTTTTACGGTTTTTAGGCCCGTGAGGAGAACAACGTGAAGGCGTACGAGCGCTGGGACTGGGAGGACGAGAGCCTCTCCAGCAATTCCATCAGCCAAGCCTCGTCCCACTCGGAGCGCGAGCAGGTTCGGATTATCTTTTTTTTATAGGAGAAACTACTTTTTTTCTAGAAAGCCAAGCCCGAAGCCTCGCCCCGCGAAGTTCGCAACAAGAAGTGAGCGCCTCCCCGACGTGATCATCACCTATTAGAAGTCTCGTCCCCCGTATAGCCCCCTCTCACTAAAAAGATAATATATTTCTGTATCTGTGCCCCCCTTGACCCGTTTATAACATGTGTGTTTTTGTGATGCATTGCGTTTCGTTTCCCTTTCATCAGCTTAACAGAAATCCCCCAATGGTCGCGGTTTCTTTATGGCCCGGGCTTGGAATAAAGACGTTTTTCAGGAAATTGTGGTTTTCTAGTTGTTTTAGTTTTCTAGCTGTCTAATTTCTAAAGAAGACTTTAGAAAGTTTCACTTGAGATTCGCGGGGACCGACTTTCGCAGATGCAGGATGGCTGGTAGGTAGATGCTGCTTTTGCATTATCCGAGGCTCCACGGTTTTCCTTAGGATCCAAACGTTCTAAGTAAATAGCGGAAGTTTTCTAAATTATTTTTACTATTCCTAAACGTTAGAACTTTGCAATTTTGACACCCAAAAATTAAGAAAGATCGATTTTTTTGAACGAAAATTTCGAAACTTTTTGAAAGTCACACTTAGTGGGGGGAAGCTGCTTTTCATTTTTCTATTTTTAGCGTTTTTAGTAGTTGTTGATTGCCATAAATTTATTAAAAATCCTTTTCAAAACATTAGAGGATTTTAATTCGGTCATTTCTCGAAATTTTATCGGTTTTTTGGGAGCTTTTTACATCTAAAAGCTGTGTAAAAATGTCATCAAAATGGTTTAGATTTTTTATCGGCTGCAAGTACTAAAGCCTACTAAAAATTCCCCCTGCTAACTATCCAGTTCCGAAATTGTGAGCTACGTAATCTTCTCCCCCTACCGGCGCGTCACGCATCCAAAACCAATTGCAATCTTGGCCTAACGGCCCCGCCGAGCCCCTTTTTCAGCGTGTTTGGCTTGTGAATTTTTGGAGCGCGCGCATTGGCTTTAGGGGAGGATACACATTGTGCGCCCCGCTACAATGGCTATAAAGCGGATGCGTGCTTGGACGGGCCGTGGAAGATGGTATTCCCGCTTCCCAGAATCCTGTCACTTCAAAGAATGTCCTCCTCCTTCCGGTGTCGCCTCTTGATCATCACCTGCATCGCGTTCTGCGTAAGCTTTTGGTACTGCTGGATTGGCGGCGAAAGTGACGGGCCCATTGTGGGTTGTTTTTTGAGGAATGGAATTTCGACATAGGGTTCTTTTGTATCATCGGCGGGAGACGTTTTTGCATTAATATTGTTTTTAGTTAAGTCAGACTATATTTCAAGCGGAAAACTATCTAAAAAACGTTAAAAATCTCAAATTTTGGTGGCCATTTTTGGTCGAAAATCGATATCTTTTGTATTTAACGAAGGTTTTTAAAGTACGTAATATTAAGTATTTTCATTGTGTTTTTGTAATAAAATTTAACACTATTTAAATTGAAAAACGCTCTAAAAACGTAGAAAATGTTAAAGTTTTGGTAGAAAATGGTTAGCTGCTATCCTGCTATGCTATAGCTGCTAAATCATGTAATTTGTACGATGAGCCAATCATCCAAATTTTTGAAACGCGTTTTCTTTCAGGTTGGTGCCGAGATTTCACACGATGAGTTCCCGGCGGCACGCGAGAAAAGAAGCGGAAAAGATGCTGTGGTGGTGCTGAAGACGATATACCTTCACAGTCCCGTATCGCAAGCGTGGATGGCCAACTCGGTTCGGCAAAGGGTATGATCGCAAAACTTTAAATAAAATTAAAATTAAGGTAGAAAAAATCAACGATAGAATAAAAAAATAAATAAAAATTAAAATGGAAAATTTCAGGTGAATAAGCTTGGAGGTGGCGGCGCCTTCGTTCGGGTGAGTATTTTCATCTACTAAAGAAAAAACGAAAACCGCTTTCAGGAAAATATATTTCTTCAGGAAACGTGAATCGCTTTTCAACATTTCCTAGGAAAAATTGCATACTGCTCTTTTAGCGGGGCGGGGGGGGGGAAGGCTTTAGGTTTTAGCCCCAGTATTCCGTATGGCTCTATAACGAGAATAATGCCATTTTCATAGCACTTTATGCAGTTTTTAGATCGAAGAAAGCACAGAAAAATAGATACTTTTTTCAAGATTGTTGATTTTTGGTCAAAACACGTATGAAAAATGACCAAAAGCGTTCAAAATTTTAGGTTTTTAAGGCTTTAAAGTCCTAAAAATATTTTTGAAACTTCGTAGCAATTAAAAACTACGAAAAACAACACAAAAATACGATATGCTAATATGTAGGTATGGGAGGAAATTGAAAAATTTATTCCGCTGGCTAACTCCCCCCCGCTAACAGTCCAATACCTGATAGACGACCGGATTGGGCTAATAGCAGTTGAAATTGCCGAATTCTTTTGAAAAAGTGTTTCACTCTCGATTGCTGTCCAGGCTTGAAAGGCTTTGGTAATTTTTTTTATTTCCAACTTTATATAACATTTTTTTTATTACCGTTTCCAGGGCTTCAACATGCGCGGCTTTTTCGCCGCCGAAATCATCGTCCGGAATGGGGAGTACGCGTGCGATAGTATCCAGAGTTATGCACGGAATGCCGCCAGGGCACGTGAGGTAAGAAAAATCAAGAGTTTTCACATTTCCTCAATAATCCCTGCTAGCTTTCCTTGCGAAAAAGGCATACAAATTGTAACAAAATAAACGTTGTGTAAAAAGAGATGAAAAAGGCGATTTTTTTGTGCTTGTGAAATGTCTACAAAAACTCTTCGGTATGCGGCTTTTGATAACATTTTTATTTTCCGAATTGACGATAAAAAACATCTAAATTGATTTATATATATTTATATACTATTATTTTTTATGATTTTAGGACACGTTCGAAATTTAAAGAGGCTAATAGGAATACTTCTCTAAACACGCATTGTCGGATTTTTCACGGTTTTCTGAACTGTTTAGATTGAAACATAAAAATTTTGACGGCAGCGATGTCGATTTTATCAGTCTTGGAAAACAAAAAATATGACATAAAAAATTCTTACAAATAAATTGTGGTTTTTCCTTTTAACGGCGGAAGGGATACCTTATTTTTTCCCCGAGTAATCCTGCACGGTCCTGTAACGAAATCTAAACGATTTTTAAAGCATTTTACGCATTAATTTTACAACTCGGTCTACAAAATTGTTTTTATATATAAAAAAGCGTTAAAGATATAACAACTGGCGAAAATGATTGGGTTTTGTTGAAAAATGTATGAAAAATGACCAAAGAACGCCGAAATTTTCGATTTTCCAAAACGTTTCGAATATTTTTGTAATTTTCTAGCAATTGAAAATTTCTAAAAACATCATAATAATACGCTCTTTATTTTTAAAAAGCTAGCGGAGACGGAAAATAAAAAATCGGCAGTTTATTTTTTAGGTACAAGCTGTGTTCTTCCGCTGCGGCCGCGCGAAGCCGGTGCAGTACAAGCGGGGATGAAACATGGAAATTCCCCTTTTTTACAATAATAATTTGCATATTTGGGAGCTGAATAAATTATCGAAACGTATCGGAAAGAGGAATGCATCGAAAATGGACCATTTCTTACTCTTACACCCCCAGTATTCAGTTATCTTCTATTTTTTCTATTCCAATTTTCCGACTACATGGCGCCGTTGTTGGTCCGAATGATCGTGCAGCCATCCATCGAGATCCGCCACCGAAAGGTACTTATAAAAATAGAAAATTTACAAATACAGATAAAATAAAAAATGAAATGAAATTAATACATGAAAATTCCAACATTTTTAAAACTATTGATGCGTTATATAAAAATTTAATCCATTAAAGGGATGCCGACGGCATAGGCATTCGGTTACGCGCTGGAAAGAAATGTCTCTGCGCCTCTCCCCAGCGCGCGCTCTCTCCCCTGTTGGCTAATTGCCAATTTGTTGATGGGGGATCGAACACATGCCGTCGGCAGCCCTTTAAATATTAAGGCCTTTGAAGGTTTATAACACAAAAAGTATAAATGTTCATTAAAGAGCGGTACGTGACCAAAATTAATGCTTTCCAACAGCTTGCATCCTATTTTCTAGCTGAAACATCGTTTTGTGCGAATTTCCTGGACTGTTAGCGGGGGATTTTTCTCAGTAATTCCACACGACCCAATAAAACCCAAAAAATTATTGGTATCATTAGAACATTTTATTATTATCCAAAAATGTATGAAAAATCGCCAAAAAGGTCTAAATTTTCAAATTTGCAAAAATGTTTAAGCCATTTTTTGCAATTCTATAGCGATCAAAAGTTACGAAAAACATAAAAATATGTTATTTATTATTAACAGGTAGGCGGAACAACACAAATTAATCCGCCCCTCCCCCACCCCCCCCCCCTCTGCCCGATACCACCTCACCCCCGCTAACAGTCAAGTACCAATCGCGTTTCCAGGAAATCACGCGCGTCTGGATGTCGACCATCGACGCGTTCATGCTCGACCCCGGCGACAAGCATTTGAAGATGACATTAAGGTATTTGAAATATAGCTTTTCTAGGTTCCTAAGTGATCTCTACCAGCCCGCGGTCTTAGTTATAAAAAGCAGCATAAAATTCATGAGAATTGTCGAAAAGGCTTGACTTTTTGGACAAAAATGTTTCAAAAATTGCCGAAAATTCCAAAATTCAAATTTTTAAAACTTTTTTATAACTTCTCTGCGATCAAAACTTTTAAAAACACTAGAATGCATTATATGTTCACTAAAAGTATGTATTATTAATCGGTGAAAGGTTAGAATTACCGCCCCCCCCCCGTTAACAGTCCAGTACCGTGATATTTTTTTGCAGTTTTGGCGCGCTGCACGGCTACCCGGACAACAATGACATGATGTGCATTATGACGCGGTACGTTTTTAAGATTTTTACGGTATAACAGTTTTAAGGTTTTGTAGGTTTTTAATATTAAAGGTAACAATTTAAATTGGATTTTGATAAATTATATTCTTCAATTCCCTTTTAGTGATGCACGGCTCGACATTCAACTCTTAAACGTCGTCGGTGTACTGCCGCCGAAGCCCGAACCTGTTGTTGCTGGGGTACGTTACATGGTATAGTAGGAAAACAAGCCTTTTTCTGTAAATTTAATACTGGAAAGAATCCAATTTTTCCAGCCCGCGACGCCGGCCCCGCAGGACAAACCCAAGAAAAAGAAGAAGAGCCGCCGCCGTCGGCGTCGTCGTGCTCAAGGTAATTGGGTACTGGACTGTTAGGGGGGGGAGTAGTTTTTGTTTTTCCGACTACCTGTTAATAAAAAATGCTGCATTTTGATAATGTTCCTCGTAGTTTTTTATTATTAGGAAGATTCTTGAAATTCGAAACTTTTGTCAAATGCTCTAAAAACTGAGAAAACTATCACTGGGAAAAGATAGTGCTTCTGCTACCCCCCCCCCTGCTAACAGTTCAGTGCCGGGCATTTTATGTTTTCAGCTTTTTCATTTATTTTATTTTTCTGGTTAGAGTGCAGTTTACCCCCCCCCAGCCGCAACTTTTCAGCCATACGTCCTATTAATGCGCCGAGTATCTCAAAATGTTCGCCGTGGTCGAATTACTATAAAAAAGTTGTTTTCTTGCGGCAAAAATTGCCAAAAAATTTTCTACAAGATTTTGAAAGTTGAAAAGATTAAGCCGCTATGCTTCGATGTACTAGGAGTCTAAAACTCAAATATTTTTATTTTCCGCTATTTTTTTCGGCTCAAACGTACTGTAGGCTTATTCTCCAGAGCAAAAGCTAGATTTTGGTACTATTGACAGCTCTGTACGTCAAAAGATAGCCGAGATACGAAAAAACACCTTGGAACAGCAAAAATTAGGTTGGCGGACACGATTTCGAAAATCACCATTTCGAAAATCACCATTTCGAAAATCACCATTTCGAAAATCACCATTTCGAAAAATCACGATTTCGAAAGACACCATTTCGAAAGTCACCATTTCGAAAAGACACCATTTCGAAAATCACCATTTCGAAAAGTCACGATTTCGAAAATCACCATTTCGAAAATCACCATTTCGAAAATCACCATTTCGAAAATTACCATTTGGGAAACAGGATTTAGCAATAGCCCATTTCCCAGTCGCAGAAAAAAAATGATTTTCGTTGGCTGGTTTAGGTTCGGGGGTCTATTTTTCCACTGGAGATATGATTAATTTCATTATAGACACCATCAAAACAATTTCTATTACATCACTAGTCATATCCGAGAAAAACCGTAGTTTTTTAACACTGCAATTTTTATGCCTGTTTGAAACCGGGTCTTTTCGAACTGGGGATTTTTTCGAAATGGTGTTTTTCGAAATGGTGTTTTTCGAAATCGTGACTTTTCGAAATGGTGTCTTTCGAAATGGTGTCTTTTCGAAATGGTGTCTTTTCGAAATGGTGTCTTTTCGAAATGGTGACTTTCGAAATGGTGTCTTTCGAAATGGTGATTTTTCGAAATGGTGATTTTCGAAATGGTGATTTTCGAAATGGTGATTTTCGAAATCGTGACAGGGAATCCAAAAATTAACTAAAGAAAACCCAGACTTATAATTGTTACAAAAAATTTTCTAACAATTTTTGATGTAAGAAAACAACTTTTTTATAGTAATTCGACCACGGCGAACATTTTGAGATACTCGACGCATTAATAGGACGTATGGCTGAAAAGTTAGGGCTGGGGGGGTAAACTGCACTTAAGCCTATTTTTCTCATTATGGCATTCAAGCATTATTCATCGCTTTCTTTCAGAAGATCCGCCCTCCTCGCGCCAGTCCAAGACAAAGTCCGGTACAAATTGTGAGTTTCATGAAATGTGGAAGGTCAGCGCAAGGAAAAGGGCATAATGTTTCTTCAAGAGTTTTGATAAACTAATTTCGTTGCGGGATTGAAAAAGTTTAATTTGATTTAGTATAATTTAATGCGATTGTACTAAAAACATGCAAAAAATGGAAAAGCAGAGTAAATACATTATGGTTCTGTTCTATTTCGCGTGGGGGAAAAAACTGTGCGGGGGAATTTTCTTCGTTTTCTAATTTTTTTCACGCTCTATCGAATGGCATTAAAGAAATTTTTGAAAGTTATCGAAAATGTCGAAAACTAACTTTCGACTCCACGATCCCATGTGGAAACACCGAATAAAGCTTGTTTTTGCTATAACTATTTTATAAAACAATATTTTTAGATGAAATTAAAACTCTGAGTATCTTTTTTGATGCTCTATCGAATGACGGGTTCAAAATATCGAAAAACTGGCGAAAATGCCGAAAACTAACATTCCGGAACCAGTTTCAATAGTTTTTTTGTTTTTGCTATAACTTTTTTATATTACAATATTTTTAGCTAAAACAAAAACTCTTGGTATATTTTTTGATGCTCTATCGAATGGCGTTGCAAAAATCCCGAGAAAATAGCGAAAAGATAGAAGGTTCCGCGAAGCATATTTTCCCCCCCGCACAGTTTTTTCCCCCACGCGAAATAGAACAGAACCTACATTATTTTTGCAGCGGCCCCAGCATCGGAGCGTACCACCCGCAGCACGGCTAGCGTCACCGTGCCCGCGCCAAGTCTCGCTTATCAAAGTCAAGGTACTTATGGTATTTTTCTTTCCTCTAACTATGGAAATGTCTAGTAACGTAATAGTGGGTTTTTTGGTTCTTTAGGATTTCCGGGGAAAGTATTTCCGGGGGGAAACCAAATTTTTTCCTGGTTTTCCCGGTTGACCTAGTAATCAAATATAAAGTGTTTTCACATTGTTTTTAGTAAATTTTAACTATATTTAAAGTAGAAAACCTTTCAAAAAAGTTAGAAAAATGTTTGAAAAAGTCGAAAAATTGGTCATTTTGGGTCTTTCCCCCGCTAATCCTAAAGGTTCTATAGGATTTTTTCGACCTAAAATTAAATTTTTAATTAAAATGTGGGTAGTTTTTATGCTCAGGAATAGTTAAAAACCATTTAGTAACGCATGCGCTATTTAGAAAAAAAAATTTAGGCTTGGACCGAAAAATTTGGTTCCCCGGAAATACTTCCCCCCGGAAACCTAAAGAACCGGTTTTTAATAGTATTTTTGTTGCTGGAATTTAACCATATTTCAACGGAAAACACAAAAAAAATTAGAAATTTTTTTCGGGGAGATTTTTGATCGAAATGCACTTGTTTGGTCGAAAAACGAGTGTTTTGCATTTTTCATTGTAATTTTTCGTTTCAGTATTGCAAAAAATAGTCTAGAAACACTTCTGCTAAATTCTATTAACTATTATCCATTTTTAAAAAAACCTAAAATTTTCATATCTTGATCGTAAAAATAAATGTTTCAAGCCTGTTATAAGGCTCGAATTATATTTTCGAGCACCATTACACTTGGTGATCGGATTACACCGTTTTTATCAGTCGGAACGTCGTGCGGCCCATCGGCGATCACGTTGACGGCGACGACGCGTGAGTTGCCCACCGCAGAGGTGTACTCTGTACGTCTTTTAAAATGAAAATTCACTACCAAATTCCTAAAAATTGCTACTAAACTAGCCAATTTTCAGGTTCAACTGCTGGCGGCGAGCGCGCGACTTGACCAGCTCGCCTTCGTCGCCCCGGCCGAGCTGCAGCAGCCGAGACGGGTAAATATAAATAAATGTAAAAATATAAAACTTGAGTAAACCTTCTAGTGCTACACATATTCCTAGGTGGTCTGTGTGAAATTCTGTGAAATTTGTTCGCATTTTTGGACAAAAAAACTTGATAAAATAACCGACGACGAGTGGAATCATTTTGAGATTAGAGACGCAGACTTCAATTTGCGTTGAAACATTCCAAATTTTTTTGCATTTTTTGGCCTACTAATCGACTACGAGTAAGTTTTCTATATTAAAAAAAACCAAACTTTCAAAAAATTTAGAAATGTTTTGAAAATGTCGAACACTTGGCAATTCTGGTTCGAAAAAAGCTGTAAAAGGTTTAATGTATTTTTAATTTACGTTAATTTTAATTTTTTTGACTATCATTGCGTTAATAATCGTTCAAAAAATTACTTTCGTGATTGTTTTTATATGAAAAACATATTTTTCATCAAAAGAAAAATCTTGTAGAGGCATAATAACAGGTTTTCCGAGGCGCATCACTTTAAAGTCACGCTGACCCTGTTGCAGACGTCAAGCGCCGAGATGGCCGTCCGCGAGCAGTCCAACTCGAACTTGGCGCAGCTGGGCGCCCGCGATGACGACACTTGCCAAGACGTACGCTTGGTTTTATTTTCGCTTATTCTATTTTTATTCTTTATTTTTATCTATCTATTTATTCGAAACATTGATATTTAGCCGAAATGATTTTCGACAAAACGAAATTTCGACAGCATGAAATTTCCAAAAAAATGCTTTTTCGACAAAAATTATTTTCGACAAAATCAAAATATGCCAGATCTGGCTACCGTAACCCGCGGCATACTGTAGCGGCATACGCCTCTATTTTATTTTCAGGTGAAGAGCATCGACGAGTCGTCCCCAAGGGCAAAGGTATAGTCAAATTGTAAATGTAGCTAATAGTAAAAACTATAAAATATAACGAAAGCTTATGGCAATTTAATAAAACATTAATAGCCAGAGATTTTGCGTTTTTGATTTTCGAAATAAACCTGCTGCAGCTTTTGCTAGTACATCAATAGAATTTTTCGGAGCTTTGAAGCTTTTTTGAAACTTGTAATTTTTATCCACCGGCATATTTCATTGAGGTGGTGAAATTTTCGGATTTACAGAAATTTTTGAAACATTTTTTGTACCAGGTAAACAATACCAATTGCAAATTTTGCATTGGAAACGTTATTTTCAGAAGCTGGTGCCGGCGGCAACGTCGACGCGGAAGAAGGATGGGCCCGGAGGAGGAGGATGAGCAGGGGAAGGAGCATGAGGAGGAGAGAAGACGAATGATGGGATTTAAAATAACTCGACAGCCGGCCACTTGTCTATTTTCTGTGTGTGTATATTGTAATAAATGTTTATAGAAAATTGCATCACGGATTTTATCGCTTAAAAATCTCTGCTAGTTTGCCCTTGTTCCCCTGTCAGCGTCACTTTGTAACCTTGTAAGGACCACCTTAAAAAAATACCATTTTTAACTGTTACTATTTTACTACTAGATAATTTTTATTACTTTACTAATTTTAATAATACTTTTTATTACAGTAACTACATTACTGATAATTTTTACAACAGTTAGGAAGTCTGGATTACCTACAGTTAATTTTTTCTGCTCCAAAGTGACTTTTCGTATCTCGGCTATCTTTGTCCTACAGAGCTGTTAACGGTACCAAAATGTAGCTCTTGCTCTGTGGAATCAGCCTAGAGTACACTTGAATCGAAAAAAAATCGCGAAAAATATTTTCGTTTCACCGGTAGTACATTAAGGCACCGCGATTAAATATTTTCACATTTAAAAACCTCGTAGAAAATTTGTCTAGCATTTTTGGCGTCAAGAAACAACTTTTTTATAGTAATTCGGTCACGGCGGACATTTTGAGATACCCAGGATATTAATAGGACGTATGGCTGAAAAGTTAGGGCTAGGGGGGTGACAGGTGTTGATTGCTTGAAGTCTTTCGTCAATAATTTATTCGACTAACGGAACATTTTTTTGTACGCCATTGCCGTCGGTAATTTTCAGCAGCATCAAATCGAAGTTGTTTCCTCGGGTCGCAAAATATAGGGCGGACGGGGTCGGGGATGGCCGTTTTGGGCGTCACGCCTAAAAGTGTACCAATTAAGCAACAAAAACAAGAACAAACAACAACATTTTAGTAGTGAAATTGTTTCTAAATGCTTTTTACTATTCCTAAACAGTGAAAATTTACAGAATTTCTGGCTTAAACATATAACAAAATATAGCTTTTCGAGACCAAAACACTGTTTTTGAACCAAACAATGTCGACCTGTTCATAACTTTTTAAAAGTTTGGGTAGTTTATAGTTTAAATATAATTATTTTTAGTAAAACCACTCATAAATTCCCATTCAGTTCCTATACATTTCTAGACGCATATATAAAAAGAGGGTGAGGCCAGAAAAAATTTCGGGGGGGGCCCCAAAATTTTTTTCAAAAATATTCTAAAACGATACCGAGAAAACAGCGCCGCAGGCAAAAATTTTTTGAAAAACGGTTACATAGGTCTACAACCAGCCGTAAAAACGTGAAAAAATAGCGCCGCAGGCAGCAAAATTTTTGAGAAAATAAAAATCATAAGGGTCCCCCCTTATGAAATTTTCGGGCCCCGGCCGATTTCGGGGGGCCGGGCCTCCGGGCCCGGTATTACGCTACGTCCCTGTATACAAGAAAAGTCCGCAAAGCACCAGGAAATGCTATGTTTCATAGATTTTTCTTGTTAGGGCTGCAACTTTCGTGAGAATGGTAGAACTTGGAAGTTGGAGATTACAATTCCGCGTATCGACTTTCTGCTACTAACTACTTTACAATGCCTGCTAATATTTTATCATGTAGTTTTATGATGTTTTTAGTAATTTTTAATTGCTAGAAAGCTACTAAAAAAATTTGGATTTTTAGTCTTGTTCCCACTTTCTCTTTTGTGAACTCTCTATAAGATCCAAAAACACAAAATATTTTGATATGACCAAGATAACTTTAAATAGCTACAATAAATGAAGTCAAACTTAAAATGTTAAACCTGAATGTTTCGGATAAAAAATTACATTGCCCACTAGCGATACTGCGAGATTATTCGCGTCAAGATTCTGCAGATTGACGTCGATGGTTTGGCCCTAAAAAATTGGCGAAAAGGTATATTTAAATCACCTGTGCCCAACTTTGCGTCAGGTTCGCTTTGTCTATTAGTGTGCTGCCGGTGGTGAGCTTTACCGTACTCGGCTGACCAACTGAAATCCAGACATGAAAATCGCGAAAATTAATAGTTTCAGAATTCTTGCACCGAATGAGGAAATTTTGATAATTAATTTTCCTAACAATTATTTGTAAAATGTTTTTTATATAAATTATATTAAAATTATATATTAAAATTCATTCAAAATACTAGTAGCAATAGCTAAAAAATTTGAAACATATGAAAATTTCGGTCGAAAATATGAAAATTTTTGAGTTTAGAATAGTAAAAAACAGCGCATAAATATTTCTTTTATTTATGTTATGACAAACGAACGAAAAATTCGTCTTTGTTCCGAACGAAAAAATTCAAGTTTCATGTAAATTTGCATACCGGCAAAAGACAACCTCCAAACGGACGTCGTGCTCATCGCGCTGTAGAATTCCACTAAAATCAAAGTGATTTAGCCAGATCGATGACAATAAGAATACGCCAAGGCAAAAACATGACTCTATTATGGCAAACAAGTTCGTGCCACCAATGAGACAGTGTGAAACAAATAGTTTTCGTCTGCCATTTGCTATGTAAAAATATAGAAATTGCTGTTTAAAGCTTAATTGAACCTTAACTTTTTAAAACATTTTAAATGTTGAAAAATTATAAATAAATTAATTAAAAACCACATAATTTAAAAATGTTAAAAAAACAAGTTTGATTAACGGCAACTTTAAAAAGTCACATGATTTAACCTTAAGGTTAGCAAAATTTTGCATTATTTAAATTAAGTTTACAAACCTAATTTCCGGATTTCCGAACGAAAAAGAAAAACAAAAAATACGGACGCCTTTAACGAGAGCTACCGTATAAAAAACCGACACGAAAAGCTGTTTTGCTGCACAAATCCGTTGATCGTCAACGTGTCGCCGTACTGTACGGGGGATCCGAACGGAATGTAGCGCTGCAAAAAAAGAGAAGAACTGTGTATCAAATATTAGAATTCAATTGAATTCTAAATGAAACATCGCTGTTTCAAGGGTTTCCTGAATGATTTAATAAACGTACGCTAGGAGTGACATCCGGCGCGTATACGTCAACGTACACCGAACCCTCGCCTTCGATCTGGAAGTATGGTATTTAATTAATTTAATTTTAATTTAATTTAGTTTATTTTAATTTAACTTATACCAAGAAAACAGTCGGGATTTGGGTTAAATTAAGGGCCATATCGACAAGGCGGCTTCCGGCATACATCTGAAAAAATCTTTTTGCGATAGTTTTGATGCGAGAGAGAGAGAGAGGGAGAAAAAGAGAGAGAGAATGAGAGAGAGGGTTTGAGTGAGAGTGAGAGCGTGAGACTGGGAGAGAGTCAGCGAGAGAGTGAGAGTGAGAGTGAGAGCGTGAGACTGAGAGAGAGTCAGCGAGAGAGGAAAGAGAGAGTGAGAGTGAGAGTGAGAGCGTGAGACTGAGAGAGAGTCAGCGAGAGAGAGAGTGCGAGCGAGAGAGAGAGGGAGAGAGCATAATTTACATGGTATAACTGTGTCTCTCTGCGTCGAAAATATACGATAGTTTCGTTGTGGAACTGGCCGAGCCACGTTGTCTCCAGTGATGCCACTCGAGTAGTGTCATTTTGATATAGCTGCCATATAGCTGCAATTTTCTGTTAAAACTAAGTTATAGATACGTAGAAAATCTTAAGCAGTTTTCAAAATGAAGACAAGGGTTTTCTGTTAAAAATAGCAGCATCCGATTATTGGACAAAAAATGTTTCGCGCATTTTGCAAATGAGCATGAATTTTGATTCCATAATTACGATGATGTGCGATTTGAAACCTCGAAGATTTCATTTGAAGATTACATTAACAGTTTTGTCTCAAATATTTAAAAAGGTAGGAAAAACGAATGTGCAAAATGTGGTTTATGACCTTCATGGAGGACCTTCAAAATTGTGAAGAAAATGAGTGTTTCACTTCGGATTGTTACGAAGCATGCTTTAAAACTATTAGTGCGTGCCAGATGCGGAAATCCTTACCCGAAAAATCTTTGGTTTTCCTTCAATAAATAGTGTATTAATTTGTCAGAAACGAATGGTATTTTAGTCGTCAAAATGTCGATTGTTATGTTCGATTTTTGGGTAGTGTTACCTGTATCGCCCAGATTGGCGCATTCTGGATATTCGGGCATTGTCCCCTCGATGGCCCTCATTTCGAGGGAGAGCGAGGCTACCGTAACCCCAGAAATGATCAGATAACTGCCGACTGGCCAATCGTAGACGAACACCTAAATTGGTTACTCTCTCTCACTCTCTCACTCTCTCTCCTCTCTTTCATTATCTCTGAGAATCCTCCCACCGCTAAGAGACCAGTTCCGTGGATCCTAGATGCGAAGGAGAATGGAACAACCTCTGCTACAACGATCAAAAATTTTCAAAATCGCCGGGGATTACATTTTTTTGGAACACATTTTTTTGCTCTGTTCCAAGCGCCTTTGGGTTTTAGGAAATTTGATTTTGCAGCCCCATTTGATGTGTATTTTAACCTTTTTAGATTTGATTTTTTTTAATTAGACTATCGCGATCCCGTTCGAAATTACCGATAATGCCGCTTAAAAATTGTACCGGGTTTTTAACTGTTCTTTTTAATTGTACCCGAAGTTTTGTCGAAAATCGGTATTTTTGGGGTCAAAAAATCGATTTTTTTTTTGTATTTTTCCAAAAATGTGTAAAGTTCCGCGTTTAGGCACGGCGCCAAAGCAGCATAAAAACACTTAAAAACACTCGATATTATTAAAAAAATCGGACCTTACAAAAAAGCCGCCCCCCGATAATGCAGAAGCATCAAATTTCCCACTAACCTTTTTGCCATTTATTGGGACGGGATTGGCGCCTGGGCTGAGCGGATACGTATATCCATCTGCCACGCAAACACAACTATCTACCGTATCCGGTAGACGAATGAATAGCTCTTGCAATCCATCCGATGGTTCTGTCGCAGAAGATGTATTGTAGATTACCGATGTTATGCAGGTTGTTTCTAAAAGTATATTATAGTTAGCTTTTAGGCTTATTTAGAATTACGTTTTATTTTTTTTAGAATATCAGGTACTTTTACATTATCGGGGGGCACCAAATTTTTCCGTAGAACGCAATTTTTCTAATATAAATCGAAAAAGTGTTTCAAAACTGTTCGTGCCATTTTTAAACGTAAAATCTTCAATTTTTATCGAGTGAATAGATTTCTTATTATTACGTTACCATCAATCTCTGAGCTTATGAAAAGATATTCGATCCCTCCCCCGATAATGCCAAAGTACCGGGATTAAAATGCGTATAGATTTTGTAGCGATGCCTGGCAAACCCCTTTAAAGGAAAAAACCGTACCCACCCGAAAAGCTAAATGCTGTACAATTAGTTTGACGTGCGCATTGTTCCCCGCAACCCTGCGCGCTGGCTACCGTACTCGTCGTCGAAGCGGAGCTTGTCGTAGCAGTCCCGTAGAGCGCTTGAAATACCTACAAGGGAGGAATTATCATGCCGAAAATGATTTTTTGCGACGTGTTATTTTGCCGACAAATCTTTTGCCAAAAATTAGCAGGTCAAATACGCAGTTGTCGAACTGATTCAGGAAATCTAGTAGTGTCGAAAATTATCGACATTGTCGACATTTCGGCAGAAAGAACTTCGAACACGATAAAAGCTCGACATGGATCTTTGGCAATGAGAAAACGATTAAACCTAAAAAGTCGCTGCAAACCCTTTGCTTTTTCGAAACATATTTTCCAAAATTCGTATTAGTAATGATCATAATCTAAAACATCTCATTTGTGTATTTATAAAAAACCGATTAAATGTACCGTAAAATGGAGAAAATCTAAATTCTAGCGTGTTGAAACTTTGCCAGGATGACATTTCAACAAGACGATATTTCGACAAAGCGAGTTACCAGGCTATGCAATATCGACAAAAGGAATCGAAAACCTATCTAGAACCTACATCACAACTAATCAATACTCATTAAAATAAAAAACTCGCCGGAAAGTTTTTCCTTTTTCAAAACATAAGTATTTAAAATTTAACATAATAATTAAAAACAGTTTTTAAAATGCCCAATTCTATTATCCATAACTTTTAAATTCGATACTGTGCGTTTTTAAGGTAATAGCACTAAACATGAAGTCTAAATTAAGCATAAGAGATTTGGTATTAAATTTAGCAATTTTTGAAACATTTTCTCGTCAATTTTCGTAAAACGGCCATTTTTTTGTCGTTACGTAATTCGATCATGATTTATATTTCATACAAACAATTTATAAACTTACCACAATTGTCTGCAACTTGATTTCCGGAATTAATAGGGTGAAATAGGCGCAGAATAGAGCGTTTCTTGCAACCATTGGTCAAAAAAGAGCGATGATGCGGGAAAGATGTTCCAAGAAAAATCGGAGGAGGAGGGAATTTTTCCTAGCAATTGGCCCCGGCATAAAAGCACGCGTTTCTTGGCGACGACGAATTCAGTCTTTTGCCTGGAATATTGCTTTTAAGGCCAGTTTAAGTGGTCATTTAAATGGCTGGAACGGCGGGTAACGCAAATCATTATCGACCGTCGAGTGGTGTAGTGGCTAAGTAACTTGCCTCTTGAGCGAACCGCCCCTGGTTCGGTTCCCCGGTCATGCAAAAATTTTTGCTTTTTTTGGTCAAAATCAACAACTTTAGACTTTTTCCGCCCTAGGTTCAGTCGCTCTATGAATTGTAAAAATGTGTTTAGCCATCCAACCCAGTCTTTCAAAAATTGTGTTTATTTAATTTTTTAGGCATCCAAACCATTTTCATTAAAACGAATTTTTAATAAGAATTAATAATAAGGCATTGTGTCTTGTTAACCATGTTTAACTTTATGCGATTAACAAGAAGCATTTATTTCTTTTATTTTTAACAATTAGAAAGTATCTTGAATCCGAAAGCTTGTTGCGTGCTTGCCACCTCTTACGCAAAAATAGTTTCAAACATGTGTTTCGCCCATTCGTATGGATAAAAATTTTCTATTCAAGGCTATTCAGCATCTTTCAGTCGTTATTAAACATTATTTATTTACACCATTAACATGAAGCATTTATCTGCACAGCGGTAAGGGGAAGGAAGCTAAAGCCAAATAAATATGCGCACACGAAAAACGGAACCAAAATTCAATGCAGAAAACGGAGGGATACGGTATCGGGATATTCCGGAGGAGCTTGTATAGTCCTTTAAAGGAACAGATCACCAGGGCACACTTCATCCAGCACATCAATGATACGATCGGCGTCGCGGATCTCCTCGCAAAGATTCGCCAGCACGTAGACGTACTTCATCGCGTAGTCGTACTGTAAAAAGGGTGTTTTTCAAGAAAACTGGTCGGGGAATTGCGGGAATTTTAAGGCAATCCGTTGTACAATCCGTTATATTGATTATTTTGCCGTTCCAGCTTTCTGTCGGTCTCTTTCTCTCTGTCTCGCTCTCTCTCTCTCTGTATCTCTCGCTCTCTGTGTGCTTTGAAATCATAGTTTAAAGTTGTTTCATAAATACGGGATTATACAAAATTTGGATAATATTTAATAACTTTATTGCCCCCAATCAATCTAATCTTACACACGCGAAATTTGGCCTCACTATTTTAAAGCAACACCAAAACCTCCCCATTCACGTACCGTATTGAAGTCGATGCATGTATCGTCGAAGGCATGGACGACATCATGGTGGCAGGATAGCTGCGTGATCGTGCTGTAATAATTCACAATTTTTGTTTAGTGCACGATTTCTGCCCCCGAGGGGCGTTCAAAAATTGCGCCGACACCCATGTTTCAGGGCGGCCGGCGACGGGGAATTGGTATCAGTTTTCAACCAGCAATAAACGCACCTCGGCTAGGCCTCATTGGTCACGTTATCGCCTCTGCGCAAAGCTAACGATCAATGGGAAAGGGAAGCCCCTATGGCGGGACAGTGGGCCAGATGGGGGCGAGTTGGGGGATGAACTTGGGCACGGGTTAGCTAGTGGTCAAGTGGTGGTTATAGAGTCGTAATATCTTCGAGAATCGAGTTAAGGTATAGAAATCTAACTTTATAGTTCCTTTAAAAAACCGATGATGCTTACCGCCTCTTACGGAACATGGCCTTCTTCAGGTGACGGGTGGCGTCATCATTTTGAGGGAAAATGGCCTCAACGACCTCGTGGTAGAGTCCCTTCACCGAGAAGCGCATCTTTAAAATATTGATATTAATAAAATCACAAAAAAATTACAGTAACTAAGGCCATAATACTAATATAACAAAATCTATAGCTTACATGCTTGATGGCACCGATTTTCTGGCGCAACTTCTGGTGCTCGGCCGAGTTTTCATCTTTGGTCAGTTCGCTAAAAAGCGTAATAGTCATAATTTGATTTAGTATTTAGTTCAATAGACGTACTTTAAGGTCTAAAGTATCTAATTCTATACATGAAATGCTAATTAAAAGTGTTTAAATCCCTTAATTCAATCCCAAACTTACAGCTGGCGAAGCAGATAGTTGAGCTCGACATCACGCGAGTCCCAGTGAACGTTGTAGCGGCTCTGACACATTTTTTATAGAAAATAAATGTTTTGCCGTTAGTGGTATACCAGAATTCTGTTTCTAACGCAATAGACGGAAATAGGGCATGATACTAAGGCTAAAAAATTAAATTTATTGGAGGCTAAAATTCATAGAAAATCTATAGATACGGGGCCAGAATGCCCTTCCCTTTAGTTTAATTATACCTTTCAAATTGCTAAAAATTGATGATTTGCGAAAAAGTGTTTTACTGAATTCTTAGCAAACCCGAAAATTGGATGGGATAATTATTCGCCGACCAGTATTCGAAATTTTAATGGATCTACAGTCACCAAAATGAATTTTGCATTCTAAATGCTTAAAAAAAATACATTCGACTCGAGTGGCCGGCCGGTGAGGACGTAGGTCTTCTTGGCGCCTTGGAAATCGGAAACCGGCTCCTGAAACCAAGAAAAATATGTTTCACTCAATCTTAAAAATTGGCAAATATTTATAATCTAATTTCGATTTCATAGCGATGATTTGTTTTATTCAATTCGCATATCCCAAGTCCTTTTAGCTAGAAACAGGCCTGAAAAATTTTCATCAAAAAATATGTTTCGAAAAGGTTTAAAACTCAAAAATTCTTGCAGTAGTAATTCCGAGTAGTACATAAAAATGCAATCTTTGCAAACCAAATAAAAATATGATTAAAAAGATTCCCAAAATGGTCTCTGCTCGTTGCCCCCACCTCTGCAATGCTGAGATCACCAAAATGGAGCACGTGACTTTTGTTGGTGCGGGCTTTCACCAGCTCGTACTGCTTCTCCAGCGTCTCGCTGTTTAAATCTTCCTGAAAACAATTATATACTTTTTATACAAATTAGGTAATTTACAAATTCGCCGCAATAATAAGGTTTAAAATTGAATAATGATCAATACGGGGTATAATTGAGGATGAACTGTGGCATTTTGGAATCATCCGATAGAAAGGTTTTCTGAAACCCGAATTTTTATCGGGCGTGCCAGCCAGGAAGTTGAATTCAGAATTTTTTAATTACTGAATTACAGCTTACAGCTCTTTTTAAATACTTATAACTTGGAAAATTGCGCTGTTATCTATACTGGCCTTGATTTTACATCACCAAAATAAGGGATACATCTTTTCAATTTTTCACAAATAGCTTCATTCTGTCGCAAGCCGGTATTATGGCCAAATAGGCACCCCCAACAATCTGGTTTTGTGACTCAATTTTTTTCCGCACGATACTGCAGGGAGTTCCAATTAAAAAAACAGCTCCTCTAACTCGACGCAGAAATATCATCGGAATGAAAATGACACCATTCAGAAGCCCTTGAAACGGCCAGTTGGCAACAATCTTTAGAACCATATTTTTATCTAAACGCGCCCGTTTAGGAGAAATTAAAAAGTGAGCAAGGACTTCTGCATCCAATTAACGGCTACTTCCGGTCATTTTGCTTGGACAAATTGCCGCACATTAGCTCGTATGTAACCTCAAAAAACCGTGAAATTTTACAAAATGGCTTGTAAAATAGCGCGTGTAAATAAAAACCTGGTTTTGAAGCTTGTTGCAAACTGGCCGTTTGAAGGGCTTTCTAATGGTGAAACTATCATTTTTTACTTCTGCGTCGGGTTAGTGGGGGCGATTTTTTTTGGGGAATCCTGTAGTCGCTGCTATTAATGCCAGCTTGAATAATTCGGTTATACCGACTTCGATGAAACATGAATTCCCAAAATCCTAAAACCTGTAAATCCTACCGTATCCGAGTCCTCCATCCACGCCACGGAGAATAGATCGCCGAGACATGGCAGCTTCATGTCATTCTCGCAATACGTTCCCCAGGATGATTCCTTTGCGTTGGCCGCCGTGATTGCGTAGACTAAAATTTTTTATGTTTTTTTGTCTGTTTGTGTTGAAAATTATAGCAAGACTTTCGAGTTTAGTAGCTAAAAAGGCGAAACATTTTTTAGAAAACGTGTGTCCAAAGCTTTTGAATTGGCAGGCTTATTGTTATCTTTAATTACTAAAGGTTACTGTCGATCAAGAAAAAATTTAACTTCAAAAATTTATGATTTTTTAATTTAAAATTAATTTTTTTAAATTTTGAAAATTGGTTAAAAATGTGGTTTTAAAGCTAAAAGTTCCTAAATGAAGTCTTCGTCTAATTAACCTACTTGAATTTACTTAATCCCGTAATATCTAGGAAACACTTCTAGACACGAAAAATTCCGAACTTTACGCGAGCTAAGTGAAAATGGTTTAATTCCCAACTTCATTATATAACCCACTATTCATATCGTCCTTGAGCTGCTCGAACATGCTGCCACTCTCGCACGCCTCCAGGTAGAAGACCAACTAAAAAGAGTATTGAATTTATCGTATTCCTATCAAGCTAAATATTATTTTTTTAAAAACTAAAATATTAGCTAAAACCGGACTGACCTTTCCGTACTTCTTCTTGCTGTTCATCGTCTGCAGCGTCTTCTGCAGGGTCTGCACGCTCATCTGAAGAAAATCGTGGATGTACTAATTCTTTAAGAAAGGAATTTTAACTAAATTTGCCGCAAAACATTGTTTTCTTAAAATGACCTTGTTTGACATTAGCAATTTTATTAAATTTCTTTAGATTGTTATTAATTTAAGTTATTAAATCCGGGCCACATTATCTATCCCAACAAAACCGGCCAGCAAGAGAAAATTTTAATTTTACACTTTGAATTCTTCACTAATTTGTTCAAAATTTAAATCGAAACCAACTTGCTCAAAACATTTTTTTGTAAAAAACCGTTCAATCCGGTTCGAAGCTTTTCTTGCCAAGTGCATCCGATAGCGATAATTTAGAAGATTTAATTTGTACGAAACAGTTCTCTTTAAAATAATCTTCAGGAATTTACAGATCAGTTTAAATTACTTTCCAAATACTTTAAATTTAAATTTTTTCAATAATCCTTGAAGGTCACTACGGTCAATTCCGACACGAAAAATTGGGTTTGGCCAGCTCGACTCTATAACATTATTTTTGCTTCGGAAACCTTATTTTGCGTTCAAAAATATCGATTCCCTTCATTTAAAACATTTGCTTTAAAAAAACCCACAATGCCATCGGGGAACGCGATGAGCCCGGTGGCGCCGTGGTCGGTGAAGTAGACGAACACGTGGTCGTTCGGCCCACTAGATTTCATCAGGATGTTATTTTAGCTATTTTATGAAATACCAGGTTGAAAAACCGCGTCGCGGCTTTTCAACCCTGGCCTCGTCTAGGACCTATGAAAGTGGTGACTTTGCATAATTGTTGCCGAAAACCGATCACCAAAAAATGAAAAGCGCGCCCTCTCTTCCTTTTTATGAGCCATTTCCACTTCCGGCGTATGCTAATTTCTCCCTAACAAAGAGGTTGGCTGAAAATTTTACAAAAACCTAATTTTAAGATCGAAAATAGCAATTTTTCAAAACTTTTATGTGTGTGCAGTCGATTCGGGACCCTTCTTTACCTATTCACGCGTCTCCCCTATCGAAAAAATGCTTCCCTGAGGCCGTAGGTGCGGAACATCCAAACGGAAGTGCATGCAAATATACACACACACACACACACACAGACACTATTTTTTATATATAGTAGGATTTTCTTTTTTTGCGACCATTGGTTGCTCCAAAAATTCAGTTTAAATAAATAAGGCGCCATAGAATGTCAATTGCTAAAAAATGTTAATTATGATACGGATTAAAGATCAAAGCAAAACAACGATTATTAAATTCAATGGTAAATCCTGAGACGAAGATTGCATCGATTAATTCTTTCAGAATTTAAAGAACTCCTTGCTTCGATGTAACATTCGATTTTGCGAAACCGCAAATTTTTATGAAGCGGACATTACTATCAAATTTTACGGCTACTAAATTGTCATTTGTTCGCTTCAATGCTAATGAAAAAACCGCATTTTATGAAAACATAATAATTATGTGGAAATGTACGAAAAACGAATGTTTCAACCCTATAAAAGCATCTGATCTTCCAGGCCGTTCTAATAGATGCCCGCGATGATCGGCTTCAAAACTAACATTTTTACCAACATCAAGTCTCTCAAATCATACCCGTTATTCCCCCAAATTTCTCTGCTAGCCTCCCCCTGTTGGGTTGAAATAATTCAAAATATCTAAATATGGACAAGGCCCGAGTAAAGAGAAAGAACTTATAATTTATGGATTCCCCTGGTCCATTTATGCGATGTAACATTCAATTTCTTGTGAGCTATTGAATAAGGGCTATTCCTTTCAAAATACATTTTCCATTAGCTATTATAATTAAAAAATGGTATCATCTAATACCTCTTGAGGACACGCCCATTTCCGCCCTTCACTTTCGCCTTGTCTCCGGTGAGAATGGCCTCGAAATTGTCGGGCGTCACCGAATCCCCATCGTAATCGATGGTAATGTTCTGAAAAAAACTATTTCCAACTACAATTAATGAATTTCTACGGATACGTATAATAGATTGTTGCAACTGCTAATTCTTACTTTTTACGAGTTTTTGAAACATCTTTTTTTTAACTTGGGATTACGAAAATCGAGGTTTTGTTTAACAGGGAATTAACCAAATTAAATTAATATAGGTTCGTCAGAATATAAATCACACAGCAATACAAATTACATTTCTTTTAATTTTTCTCTTAAAAGCTGAATAAAAGCGCAAATTTGTTGCCGAAATCTAGCGGCGGATTACTGCACTTACAAAATCATAGCTTTCCAGGTTCCTGGAAACATATTTTCAAAATGAGAGTGTTGTTACAAAAATCCATTTTTTCACTAGTGGGTTAATTAAGTTCAATTAAAGTAAAGTAATTTACAATATAAATTTCACTAGATCACATATTTTGGATTTTGGACACTAGATTTATATAATTTGGATCAAAACCAAAAAACTTTGATGCTATCGCCAAATCATACTTTTAAGAATTATGGAAACATATTTTTCAAAAAATATTAAGTTGCGAAAATATTTATAGTTTGGGCTAAAAACAGCAATAAGCTAAATTATAATACGCTAATTTACAATAGGGTTAAGAAGGATTAAGGCAGCTTTTTTACCTCAAATTCATACATATATATGTCATACCTTGTAGACATCCTCGCCGTGCGGCTTGTTGTACAGCTTGCCCGGGTACGGGTTTCTAAAATGGTAACGGATAAGGTCCAGTTTTTTCGAAAAACGATGATATATAAAATAGAAGTAATATATATTTAAAGGTATACAATAAAAATCACAAAATTATGGTTTAATCTTGATAGTTTTAATTTAAATTATTTTTATTTAGGCTTACTCTTTTTGGTAAATTTGACCGAAGAAACCGAAAAATATCATAAAGATTTTTAGCGATGCAAAAATACAAAAAGATCGACCTCCAGAAACAACATTTAAATCAACAATGTTTCAAAAATTTTGCGAGATGCGATTTTTTTTTGGAAGATATTCGAATGAAGCCGCTGTTTTCTTAATTCCGACTTATTCTTCTCGTTACTAAATAGAAGATGAAACGCACTGTTTATTCTTGGCGATATCGTCGAACATCATGGTGATGATGTTGTTCTTCGGGATACCGTGCTCGATCAGAATGTGATAGGCGTGGGCCACGTCGGCCTGCAAGAAAAAAGTGCATTAAATGGATTCTCAAGGAAAAAGACGGGTTACGTGCAAAATGTCGAAATCTAAAATCTCGAATTTTCATAATCTCGAAAATGCGAATATCCGACATTTATAATGTCGGAATTTCGCATAAAGAAAGCCCGAGAAAAATTGGCAAGTATTATAAAAAAATCTTGAAAGTCTGAACTATCGGCATTATGAATTTTCGACATTACGAAATATCGACATTTCGACTTTCGACGATTTCGACATATGAAATTTTGCCGGCTGCTTAGATTTCGACATTTTGAACTTTCGACAAGAATTTCATTTCGACATTATCAAATGTCATTTTCCTAAGGAGTATCTGCTAGTTTGAGCAGTTTCCTTTCATTTTCCCAAATGATCTCTGCTGGCTTGCCTTCATTCATCGCTTACCAATGAAATAAAACTGTTGCAAAAATCTCTCTAGCCAACGATTTTCTAAACAATCCGATGTTTCGTTGTTTTCAGGTAACTTCATTCAAAAAAATTTGCTATTATTGCTATGTGAATCATAATGATGCAAATAATAATAATATCTAATAATAATAATAATATCAGATAATTGCAATGGATCATAATCACCTGATGCCGATAATTGTACCATCCATTCGATCCGGCGACAAGAACGGCGTATAGTTCTCCCCCGTCGTCGTACAACCCGCTGTGCGTTTTGATACTGGAAAATATACTTCTCCGCCCACCCTGCGTGGGCCCCCCCTAGGGGGGACAGAGGGGGGACTGAAAGGGGGGATGGTAGGGGGCCCCTGGGACCCCCGGGGATTCTTCCCCCTCCCCTCCCCCCACCCCCCACCCCCCACCCTTCACCCTCCCCCGGAATTTTCGCTATGCCGAATTTTCACTATGCCTAATTTTCGCTATGCCGAATTTTCACTTTACCGATTCGCTATACCGAATTTCGCTATGCCGAATTTTTGCTACTCTACTACTAATATTCTCTACTAATATTAATAACTAAGATCGGCTGGGACTTTGCGGTGCAACAGAAAATCTGCTGCGCCTACGGGACCCACGATCTGCCTGCGTTTTTGGAACCTTCTAGGCTAACTCTAACTTTCTAGGCCCGATTTGCGTGCATATTTTCGAAACTCATATTTTCGAAACTCAGATTTTTGAAAACTGATAGTTACAGCTTTGCATAGGCTTGGGTAACTTAAGAAAACCTAAGGAAATATGAATTTCAAAAATATGTGTTTCGAAACTATGAGTTTTCGGGGTTCTTGCGTATCCTCGGGGGGGAGAATAGGAAAAAACAAAAAAGAACTTATTTGAATAGGAAAAACTTTTTTAAAAGTTTAGAAAAACGCTTGAAAAAGTCGAAAATTTGGTCGTTTTTTATTAAATTTTGTAAATTTTTATGCTCAGGAATAGCTATAAACAGTTTAGAAACAATGCCACGATTTATATAAAAAATCTAGGCTTGGGCCGAAAAAGTTCAGTCCCCCCCACGCAAGAACCGTTTTCGGAAATATAAGTGCCTACCTCTAGGCCCATCTATTTGAAAAAAAAACAGTAAAAAAAATTGGGAACATACCGCTTATCAAAATTGGTGTGGCGAAGATTCGGCATGGTGAAAATTCGGTATAGCGAAAATTCGGTATAGTGAAAATTCGGTATAGTGAAAATTCGGTATAGCGAATGGAACTCGTAGATGCCATACCTTCATGCCTCAGGGGGGTAGGGGGCACGGTCCTTGGGGGGTCCCCGGGGTCCCCGGGGGCCCCTACCATCCCCTTTCAGTCCCCCCTCTGTCCCCCCTAGGGGGGGCCCACCCAGGGTGGGCGGAGAAGTATACTGGAAAACGATAATTCGCGAGCTAATTATTGCTACTTCGACTCCAGGGTTACTGTTAATGGATGAAACACGTTTTATTGGCTATCATTTTAATTAATTTTTTTGGCCCTTCGTATAGAAAGTAGCATCAAAAACTCCTTATCTATTAAATTTCGCCAAACATGAAAAATTGGCCTCGCTGTTTATTGCTTAACAATGTATCTAAGAATTCTTAAAAATTATCTAAGATAATTTATCTAAGAATATAAGCATTAAAAAATAGAATAAAATGTATTACTTATTACGTTTTACTACCTACTTACGTTTTACTTTATTAATATGCGTTACGTTTTACAAGGATTTTCAAAGTATTTTTTATTGAAATATAAGCAAGTAAAACAAAATTACTGGCGAAACTGCAAAATCTATTATCTACGATTTTACACTATTTATTTATTTATATATTATTTTACACTTTGTCAAGACTTTGTTCCATCATTTGGTCGCTCAAATCTATTAAATGTCATTTAATTCAAGCCATGAAATTCTTTACAAAATTTGAATGTAAGTATCAAAAACTTATTAAAGCTCGTTTTGTTTTATCTTAATAAAAATAAAGACATGTTTCCAATGAATTAGTTGAAATGTTTCAAAACTTGTTCGTATTTAGGTAATTTTTTGTTTACAAATTTTTTTAGGTATTTTTTGTTGCTGTGATCAGCCCATGCATAGTTGCAAACCAAAGAGATACCGGAGATCAGTATAATCACCCATGTTCGTCCGCACACCCAAAAAAATGAAACTCACATTTCTGGTGCAAGCTTCTTTCGGCCGTGTAGGGTACGGTGGTGGGATGCATGGACGGCTGTCACGCAGATGATCAATAACAAAATTGAGGCCCTCAGAAACATCCTGAAAATGGACCGAATAAAGTGAATTTAAAGCACAGCGGCACATAAAATTGAAGCCGAATTGGAGACGCAATATAAAAAAGTCAATTTATAAAACGTATTTATCAGATATTAAATTTAATTTTAATAATTTAGCAAATTCTTATCGGGGTTTCGGCTTTCTGACTCCGGAATATAAAGTTTAATCAAAAATTATAAGGAAAACAAAGGTTTATTAAAGAACCTAAACTTTTCAATTTAAATAGAAGAAACGAAACACATATTTTTCTTACGATAGCATTTTTCTAACCATTCGAATACCGAAATACCGACAACTAAGGTTCCAAACGGATGCGCAAAGAACATTTGAATTTGAAAGGCCGTGTCGGCATTTCGGCATGATAGGCATCACGAAGGATTATTAGAGAGCTTTGTTTTTGGACTAATCAGATAAAATGGAACATATGTTTTTCTCCGAGAAATTCGGATTTTTAAACAAACAGCTTTGTGTCGGCATTTTGATGGTTTCCTACCCCAAAAAAAAGAGTAGTGAAACCGAAATCCGAGGTCTATTACACACCCATAAATGATTCAATTAAAAATGAAGCATATTTTTCCTATAAAAATTTTAATTTTTCTGAACTAAAAAATCCCCCATGCCGACAACGAAAATACCGACAATTGGGTGGCTAAGCGCACCTGAAAAATACCTTAGGAAAACGATTCCGGAGAAGAAGATAGAACTAGTGATACCCCAAATTTTCCGTTTAAATAGATGAAATGGAACACATGTTTTCTGGTGGTCGTTTGTTGTTTTCTTCCAGGCCCAAAGACGAGTCAGCCGGAATTTATCGAGACTGCTTCTTCCCCCAGCCTTTTTCGCCACCCGCCAAAACAAAACAACCGCCTGGTTCGCATATTTGATTGAATACAGATGTTTAGCGGGGGGAACGATGAATTTTGGTACTTTTGGAAACAACAAAGTATTTTTCACGATTTTAAAATCGAATAAGTGGTTTTGACAAATACCATGCCTCTTGCTATTTAGGAAAAATTCAGGATCAATCAATATTTATCCTCATAATCGAAAAATTTTACAAACAACCACTAGTTGAAACATATTTTTTAGAAATTTGAATTTTAAAAATACGTTTTATGAAAAATACGCTCCGCCCCATGCCGCCCATGCTGAAATTATAGGTATTCCAAATATGCAACTAAGACTTGCTCCAAAATATTCAAGTGTTTTTAAAAGATTAATAGAACATTCGAGTGAATTATTGCTCAAAAAAATGTGCATAATTCAGCGTCAGCTAATTGGTTATACAAAAGCTGAGGAACCATGCAATTAGTTGATACCTTTTTTTGTAAAAACTGAATGTTATAACAAAATTGGCATGATTTCGCTACAATTTTGACTAACCTTATCCAAAAATTCCCCCGACCTTGAATGCGAAATGCCAAATCTAGGCGCCGTATAAATAATTGCCCTCATTCGCCGATACCAGCTGGGAGAAACGGCTGAATAATTTATGTTTCAGCTCCCAGAGGCACTAGCGCACCGCAAGGCACCGAGAATCTGTCACCATGGTAAAAATACATGTTTCATGATTTTATAGGATTAAAGATGATTTCTACATTATAATACATTGCTTGGAAGATTGATCCGCATCGCTTCATTACTGATTTTTTTTAATATATTTAATCTGTTTATTTCTGAATTATTTAATGGGTTTAATATAAGATCCATCCCATTTTTTTTAATGAGCAGCTATTAAAATTCCGCCTACCGCCTCATTCCCATCGTTTTTGTGTGTATTCCGTTTGTTATTCCGGAAAATTAATCTTAAAAGATGCGTAATGGCTACAAAAAACTGGCAAAAATTGGAGCCGCTGAAATTACGGGTAGATGGGCCGGATTTCGCTTTCTCTCCCACGCAAATTAGGGTTAACCAGTAGGCGGAACTCGGAAGTAGCCGATTAGCTAGCGACTCGTGAAGGTCACCGGGAAGGACCGGGCGCTTTTCAGCGGCTAATAGTAGAGCTCAAAATTTAATGAAATTTATGTATTTATATTCCTTAAAGGGATTTGGTTCTTTCAGACTGAACTTTTTCCCAAAGTTTTAGAAAGTTATTTCACTTTAAATATAGTTAAATTTTACGTAAGCCTTTTTCAATTAAATCTAGGCATGGCAAAACTATCCAAATTATTCAAAATTTGAATTTTTTTGCTCGAAAATCAATCATTTCAGCCACGGAAACCCTCAAAAAATCGATGTTTCAAATCCTTTCATGTTTCAAAAAATGTAACCGACAAACAATGTCGCTTGGCTTAATTAAAACCACGACTTATCGCTTAATTCACGAAAAAAAATCCGGTTCTAAAATAGTTTAGGGTGGCTAGCAGAGGTTTTTGAGGAAATCTAGGGTCAGACATACCATTAGGCGTGAATTTGCTTTGTAAAAAATGTGTTTCGACGCAAAATAATGTTTGATAAAACGCTAATTGTCTAATTCATGAAGTTTTCGCTATATATCTGAAATCGATCGGCCGCGTTTTTCGAATTGGCAGGCTATTTTCTAAAACGCCTATTTTTATATGATTAATTTCTCTTATTTTACAAAAAAATGTTTCACAGGCAAACCGTCCGGAGGTTTAGTTATGAGGCTCAATAAAGTCTCGAGCGTGTTCAAAGACTGTATTATTTTTATGCCAAAAATCGCGATTTTACATATTAGAAAAAAACTCATTTCAATACGATGGTTTACAAATTTTGAAATAGTTTAAATAAACCCAATTTCTAACGGCTCCAAAAATGTTGTGGCGCTTAGTGGAAGCGTGGTACAGAGGTACCAAAACCAAGCGTATGCGAGTGTGACCATTCAGCCCATTCGATCAGGGTAGCTAGCAACGATCGATGAGGAAAATTATACAAATTAAATACAAGAATAATAAGAGAAAACAGCGCAAAGGACGTATTCTGGCGGACGGAAGCTACAGTAGTATTACTGTAGTTTCCGTCCGCCAGAATACGCTGAGTCGCTAGTTATTTGGTGGTAAAGAGAGACAGAGAGAGAGAGAGAAAGAGAGAGAGAGAGAGAGGGAGAGAGCTAGAGAAAAAAGAGTGTTGTTTTGATACTAGGGGAGAAGGGCAGTCGTGGGGGTCTTAATAGGCATAAAATGGGCATATCAGCTGTCGTGTCTGAGGGCTTTAGATAAGAAATTGGCTTTCGAAAGGGTCATCACCGGTCACCGGCACTAGAGAGAAACAGACAGACACATAGATAGACAGACAGACAAACAATACTCTACCCTCCACGAAATATCGATCAATTTATTGAGTTTGAATTGGGCGTAATTATAGATTTTGCAAAATTCCGGAACTTGAGATTTTTGCGAAACAACATTTTTTTCAGAACTGATTCGGGAAAATAGTGAACAGGCGCGAACACATGCAAACATAAAGACAGAACGACAGACACACAGACAGACAGACGAACGATACTCCACGCTTCACGAAATGTCGTTCGATTATGCGACCTGCGGCTTCAAGGATTATCGTATTTGAAAATCTCGGAAAAAGGATAACTTTACGAAACACATTTTTTATAAAAAAGCTAATTGCTACCACTTCCCAATTTCCGAAAAAAGATGGACAGACAGACAGGCAGATCAACGATACCATACGCTCCACGAAATATCGATCGAATTATCGCTCAAATCCGTGGCCGATTATGACTTTCAAGTTTTCGGAACATATTTTCGGGGCACAAATTTTTTTTACAAAACGCTGATACTCTAACACTTTTGGAGTTGAATAACCACTCAGATTTCGGTGCTAATTTCGAAGGTACAGATAACGTAGTGTCCGGGTACAAAAATGACCAACCCTGCTACTGGCCCACCAAGAGATATCGATAATGTAGAGATGGAGCTCAAGGCTTATTCGCGACCTTAAAAGTCTTCGATAAGCATACCTTAGTGAAACGCATTTTTTATGAAAAAGTTTTGATGACATTTTTTTACCCTGCAATTTTTTATTTTGCTCAGTGAAACATTTTTACGGTCGAAATTCCGGGGGCTTGTATATAATCAAAAATTCAAGGATGCGATATGGTTGTATGAAAAATAAAGTTTCAGGAATTTATAGCAAAAAGATCTAGCAGAATATGATACAGGAAGCATGCATTTCGTACGGAAAAGCTCAGCCATGTTCATTTAAAAGCTTTCTTTTCTAGCTTTTTTCTATAGTGTCCCTTAAAACTACAAAAAAAGCTAGGGGTACGGTAGGCCAAAAAATAAAAATCCGTAAAAAGTTCTGGCCGCCCGGTGGGAAGTTGGTGATAATCCTTGGCTTGAGGCGCCGTAGTAACAGTATGTCGTTCTGTTTCTCTCTCTCCCTCTCGCTTGCTCTCTCTCTCTCACCTGAGAAGTGTTCCGGGTCTTTTTACGAAATGTGTAACCCGGCTGGCTACAACGGCTACGGCCCAAAGTCCGTTCGACACCAATTGGCACCAGGTGGCACCGGTCAAACAGAAAAAGTATGCGCGTTCTATAGATAAAAGATGAAGCTAAAATTAGTCAACGCATAACTAGTTCCATTAAAAACCAAAAGAACCGCTCAGCTATAAATTTCTTGAAACAGGCTTTATTTACGTGACAAAACTGCTTTGAAATTATGGTATTTTCCAAAAATTGCCACAATTCTTATATTCCATTAAGTATCGAGTTAAGGTATAAATATTTATAGTATATACGTTCTAATTAATCAGTAAACAACATATTAAAATAAAAAATGACAAAAATTAAAAATGTTTGAAAAATCTACAAAATCCAAAAACACGCAAATCCGCTAATTAGGCGTACGACCTAGTCGACCGAAAGTAGAATCTTATAAAATTTTGGGTGTCTCTAAGCGTATAAATGTTATATTTTGACCTTAAAAACGTAGAAATTATAATATGACCTTTGTTATAAACACGTAAATGCCGAACATTGCTGCTTGCTATGCTAAAATTAG